GGGCGTGCGCGTGCGCGGCTCACCCGCTCTAAGGGGGCCACGGCGGTCCGCGACACGGCGGCGCTGAGGGCCCCGGCCACCACCAGCTTCGCGTTTTCGACAGCCGCCCCCAGCATCGCCGCCGGCCCCGCCGTGCTGCGCGGCGACGTGCCAGGCCGTGCCTGCTCGCGGTCAACGGGCGTGCCCTCGTCCGTGGCCACCCCTGCGCGTGCTGGTTGCCGGTCGGCGCGCCGCTGCTGATGGTTGGAGCGATCTGGCTTGCGCCTTGAGGCGGCGGCCCCGCCGGTGGGGTTCAGGAACCGCGGCGTCGCCGGCTGCAATGCTAACATCAGAGGCAGCACTGTGTTGGGCTGGTCTGAGGTGCCCTGGCCGGCCAGCCATTGGCGCGGCTGGATCACGGTCAGAGACGCGGCTGCTGCAGGCGCCGCCGCCGCCCGACCCCAACAACGCCGCTGCCCCTGCGCAGACCCCCATGCCGCTGCCGGGGAGTGCGCCGCCCCATGGCCTGATCGGGGCAGCTGCGCGTGGCACAGACGCCAGGACAGCTCAGGGCGCGCCTCCGCACGAGCCTCTCCTGTGTGCTGTGCCGTGGACAGCACGCCGCCGCCAGCCCTCAACGCAAAGCGCCCTTTAGTCGAGGCGCCCATGTCAAGATAGCATAGTAATACGGGGATTGCACGATCCCCTGACCGTAGAGCGTTGAGGAGCTAAGCGACTGAAAAGCAGCATGATCCCTGGAATCGAGCGCGCAAATTGGTTGTTGTCGTGTACAAGATTCGCGTTGACTGCGCCACTGTTTTAAGACAAGCTTCATGCAAGCCACACCAGTGGCTTTGTGCAGTTGTTGACATGGCGTGGCCGTGAGTTCCTGGCGCATTCCAGCACCCATCAATCACTCCTCCGCCGCGCAGCCCTGTTTGCCGCCGGCTGCGGGCCTTCCCTGGATAGATCGTCAAGACGGCCAGTTTTACTCAAGGCCCAGTTCAAGGCCGGCAGTGCGTTGAGTCGCGTGCCTTGGTTGTGCTGATCTGCTACAGCAAGACGCCGCCCAACCTCGCAAGGCGAGGAGGTAGGCGGCGGTGCGGGCCCCGCGGCATCTGGCCAGCACGCCATGCAGGGCGCAGACTAAGAGTTGGTTTCATTTTTGAGGGGCTGCACCCCCAGAGTAGAAGTACAGAGACGCCCGAGGATCAAGCGCACCTCTGGCAGTCGCAGCCAGGCGGCCAAGAGGCCGGGGCCCCCGGGCCCCACCCCACCCAATGGCCGGTGCGAATGAATATAAATCGGATTCACCAGGGAGGGGCGCCGCCCGCGGCGGCAGCATGCCTGTGGCTAAAACAGAGGGACGACCGTCCGGCGTGGCAATCGCGCCGAGACACCCGAGGAGTGATAAATGTCCACATCACATAATGCAGGGAGGGCAGCGCAGGGCTCGGGCCCCCGCGCGCTCCAAGCCGGTGGGACGCGCCAAGCAACATGCAACAGAGGAGCCCCAAACCCCCATTCACGGCGGCGGCAAAATACGATGGGGCTCCCAGAGCCCACGGCGGCAGGTGGGTGGCGTGGTGCTGCGCAGCAAGGAGCCCCGGCACGCGGCCCGCCAGGCTGAGGCCCGGCGTCGCTGCGCCGGGCCGAAGCGCCACGCCTGGCTTCCTTCCTGCTACGCAGCCGCACGAGCCAAAGCCCCGAGGCAGCCGACCCCCGTCACCACGCACAGCGGGCACCCAGGCGCACCCCGCCCCTCACAACAGGTCACCGCGGCCGCCGCCCGCAGCGAGGCGCTCCGCCGTCAGGGGCGCCCGCGCGCCCGCCCGCGCCGGCCGCGCCATTGCCGTGAGCGCTTCCTCCACCTCCCGCCAGCCGCGCACGACCTGGATGTTGGGGTGCTCAAACCCGGGCGGCGGCTTGCTCCAGGGGTACGAGCCCTGCCAGTCAAACAGCAGCACGTCGATCCCGTTGCTGGCGCAGTCCAGGGCGTAGCCGACGTTGTCATCTATGAGGACGTGGGCGCCTATGGAGGCGCAGATCTCGCTCTTCTTGCGGCTGGCGCCCTCCAGGGCAAAATGGTTGCCAAAGTACACCTGGCAAAGGGAAAGTGTAAATTTCAGCGCGTGTTGAGAGTTATGTCAACGGTACCATTTGAAGTGCCCTGGTGGCATGTGAGGGTCTTGGCGGAGGAAAGCCGGGGAGCGAGCAGGGGAGGAGCGGCTGCTGCGCCGGGCGCCCGGCTGGCCGCGCCTGCGCCCGCCGCGCCGCGCCGCGCACCTCCTGGAAGGTCCCCGGGTAGTGGCGGTCGAGCCACTCCAGCGTCGCGTCCTGGATGACGTGCTGCCGGCTGGTGACGACCACCAGGTCGCACCACTGCCCCAGCCGCTGCAGCGTGCTGAACGCGTCTGTGAAGCGGTGCGGGGCCGGGAGGTCGGCGGCGGCAGCCAGGGGTCAGAAATCTGGGGGGAGCGCAGCGTGTGCGGCACTGCCCAGCCTATGCGAGGGAACCAACGAGCACAGAAGGCCCCATACTTCTGCAGAGGGCCCCTCGGCACAGCGAGACGCGAAAGGCCGGCTGCTGGGCAGGGATTCAGCCGCGCACCTGGGATGATGGGGATGCCGTCGTTGAAGTGGGGCGACTCGAAAAACGCATGAACAATGTGGTTGGAGCGATCCTGGTCGCAGCCCCAGATCTGTGGCGAAAAGGTGGAGGCAAGGCAGGCGTCCAAGAAGTGAGTCTGCAAGCGCTGCGAAGACGGGGCTACGCCGCCAACTGGGGCACGGCCGGGCTGCTGAGCCGCCCCCCCCCCTCGCCCTGCTTGGACTGACAACCCTCTTGCCCCCACTCCGTGCGCCGGCAACACACTCACCTTTGCAAACTCATAGATCCAGTAGTCTGAGACGTCATATGACATATTGTACTGAGACTTGCAAAACCCGTTGAGCGCGTACACAAACCGGCCCAGCACTGTGAGGGGAGGGGGGATGGTGCCATAGGGCGCCGTCGATCCCCAGGCCCGCACTGGAAGGTTTTCGATCCAGCCAGGGGGCATGCATACCCCTCAACTTGGTCCAGCACGTGAATTATAGCCTCCCAGCATGCACCAAAGTCACCAGCACCTGCTTGGATAGAGCTTCCCAGCCCTGAAACCAGGGCAGCTGCTCGCACTCACCCTCATCAACGTCCACAGCGATTCGCAGCCGTGACTCAGCGCCCGTGCTCACGCCAGCAACGGGCCCCGCTGTTTCAAGCACCGGGGCAACGCGCTCCACGCTAGCTGCCAGCGCCGAGGCGCGCTCCAGCGGGGCGCGCGCATGCGGCTCCAGCAGCGACGGCGTGAGCGGCGCGCGCTGCGTTGGCTGCTCGTGCGGCGACGGCTTGTGGAGGCAGCGGGCACGGGCGCCGGCAGCATGTCGCGGGATCCGCGCTGTCCTCCCTGGCGTGGAGATCCGCTGGGCCTGTGCCCGCTGCTGCTGCGAAGAGCGAAGGCCGCTCGACATTGTTGGTCTGCTGGACCCAAGGCTCCAGTCGGCTCACGAGAGTTTGAACAGAGGTACGACTAAGTCTAAGAGGTACGCAACAGGCAGCGAGGAGGCCGGCGCGCGAAGCGGTGTTGCGTTCAGTGCGAAGCCTCGCCAAGTGATACCCTCATATGTGATAGTGAGGTGCTGGAGAGCGTGCGAGCTCGATCCAGACCGCACGATCGGGCGCGCCTGGCTTTTGCCTGGGTCGGGAGCTTCTCTACAGACAACCAAGAGGCGCGCCGGTGTAAGCGCGGGCCAGGCTGTGCACAGGCAAGGTACCGTACTGTAAGAATTCAACTCAAGAAACTCGTGTGAACCCGGCATTGTTTCAACGGCTCCCGCCAGATCAGTGGTTGCTTACGTCAGCTCCCCGCGCCAGAATGCTCCGCTCGCGTCTGCGCTCGGAGGTGAGGCCCGTATGAAGTCCCAGAGGTCCAAAAGCAAACGTACACGGCACCTTGAGGCTCAGCGTTGTGGCTTGCGAGCAGCGGCGCCAGCAACGCAATCGATGATATCTCACGACCGCCCCCTCCGCTCGCAGGTGGCCCCTAATCGGCCCGCCCCCGCCGCCGCGCGTTTCCGCCCAGTGGCTCACGTCCAGCGCGGCGGCACTCGCTCGATCGCGACGCCGCTGGACATCACCATCCACGGGCGCCACGTGGACGTCACGCCCGAGGCGCGTTCCATCCTCGCCGCGTTGCAGCGCCAAGAGGGCGCCCGCGGCCGCCGCGTAGCAGCGCGTTTGACGATAACCACGCACGCCTGCTCGGCGGCACCCTCGCGGCCGCAGCTCTTCCCTCCCATCACGCCCAGACCGCCCACGCATACGCCCACTTGGGTTCCGCACAAGACACGCGTGGCCCAGCCTGGCGTCCCCGCGCTCGCGCCACGCCCTGGCCCCTCCCTTTGCCCCGACAGATCGAGTCCCACGTTCGCGACCGCCTGTCTTCCGTTCTGGACAAGTTCAAGGGCGCCCAATTCCTGGAGTCCGACGGCGGCGTCGCCTTGGTCGATGTGAGCCACTGGGCCCACTCAAGCCGCAGGAATATCGGAAGGGCTGCCGCGGCAGCCTGCTGCTGCTGCTGCCCTTAGACGGCTGGCGTGGCGAGAGCGCACCCCCAAAGCCGCTCACGGCCAGAGGCGCGGGCCCGGAGGGTGGATGCGGGTGCACCATAGGGGGGCGGTGTTGAGGGGCGGGGTGCTGGGTGTCACGCGCTGATCCCAACCATGGGCTTTTGACAGTCTGTCAGCTCGTGCAGCGAGCTGCTGGAAGTCACAAAGGCACAAAAAGGTTTTTTTGCAGAGGGGGGGGTTCTGGGCGGATAATCTCACCTCACACACGCTCCCCCTGCGTGTCCTGGTGCCTGCTTTTTCCCAAACTGCGCTCGCAGGTGCGCCTGATGAACTCGCAGGCGGAGGTGAAGCTGCAGCCGCGCATCCACAACAAGGTGCGCCGGCGTCGCGCGTGCCCAGTTGGACGCTGCGCTGCGACGCGCCCACCAACATTGTCTGCGTGCTGCCTCCCCAGCGTCACTGCCGCGCAGGGACCGGCGGACTGCCACTCCTGAGCCCCTGCGTAGGCGCTCGATTGGCACTCAAAGGGCCTCTCCACCCCCTCCCCTCCTCCCCGCCTCCCTCCTCGCGTGGCGCCAACCCCCAGGCCGCCAACGACGTGTATGTGCGGCAGGGCGGGCTCAAGGTGCGCCCGCGCCGCCGCGCCCGCCGCGGCTCGCCGCCCCCGCCTCCCGCATGGCCGAGGCGTCGCGACCGCGCGCCCCTCCCCTCCTCGCGCGCCTATCGCGCTCGCGGCCCGCAGGCCTCACCGCTGCCGTGCGCTTGCCTCCTCCGGCCGCTCGTCTTGCTGAAAATCATGCAGGTCTGCGAGTCTGGCAGCGGCTGGGCGGACTCCCTGGAGAAGGCCCTAGATGCCCTGGACAGGAAGCTTACTAAGGTGAGAAGCTGCGGCTCTACCTTGGAGGGCCTGGGGGCGCACGCGCAGCGCCGGTTTGTGGCGCTCGCGCCGCCGGGGCGCCGCTGTGGGGCGCTGGGCGGCGGGCTTAGGGGCAGGGACCGCCGGCCGCTCGCGGAATGCCTGAAGGGGGGGGGGATGCTGGGGGGCGGGGTTAGCGCGCTACCATGCCTCGTTTGGGAGTGACTGTGCTCAGCGTAAACAAAGAGCTCACCGGCTTTTCTGACGAGCCGCCCGCTCCGAGGCGACCACAAGCATAGCATGGGAGCGCCCTGCTGGCATTGCGCAATCACAGCGTGCCCGCCCTGAATAGCGTCCGCCTCGATGTTTCACCCGCGCCGCGTGCCGCAGTACGCCAAGCCTCTCCCCCACAAGGTCGACTACCGCCGCCTGTAGCCACCACCAGCTACCAGCCTTCCCCCGCGCGCCGCGAGCCGCGGCGTCCAACCCCCGGCCAGCAGCGGCCGCGGCGCGCATGCAGCGCCCGCCGCACGGCGCGCTTCGCGCCCCCTCCTGGCCGCCTGGCCGTCTACTGCCCCTGCGGTCGGCTGGAGCGGCGACAGAGGGCAGTGCTGAGCAGCCCAAGGTCAACCCCCCCTTCCAAACGGGAGGTGGCCTAGAGCGCGCAGCTCTTGCATTTGTGTTGCATCATGTGTTGCCGGCTCGCGCGCCGGCCGGACCACCTGTGATGGTTGGGCCATGCGTGATTTGTGTGGGGAAAAAGAAGAATCGTGCACCCTCTGATGACCGGGCCGCGTGGCCGGCACCTGGAGGGGCGGCACCACCTGCATTCGCATTCGCGCACGCGGGCTGCACGCCGCTTTCGCCCACCCGCTTGCCGCACCTCCAGTGCCCAGAGCCCTTAGTCCCTAATGTCTGTTGTGGGTTGTAACCAACAAGGTTTTTGGGGAAGATTTGAGGAGTTTGACTCTTAGGGGAACGGGGCATTCACTGTAAAGCAAACGCCAAGCTCGGCTGAGCAGAAATGCTGGTGCGCCCGAAGCGGCGGCCACGGGTCCTGCAGCGGGCCATAGTGAGGGTTCAAGCACACAGCATGTCCCAAGTACACTCGGGTTGATACCAGGCCGGGTGTGGGTTTTTCAGCACGGGTCAACGGGCGGGAAAAGCGCGGTGTGTGGGTGAGTGAACAATGCTGTCATATCCAGGATGCCGCCGTCGCACGACGCAGCAACCTCCCTGCATCCGCCGCGCTCGATGCACCCTTGCATAAGTCGGTGCAGTCACTCGTCAAAAAGCCTGGCCTCGGCGCTGGATCTCGTCTGTGACACGCCGGAGCGAACATGCTCAAGGCCCTGTGCGGGTGCAGCGTTCCTCACGTGAACGAAGAGGGTCCAGAAAGCGCAAAGGATGGTCCATATGGCGAGAACACCGTGGAGGTGAGCGGCTCGTGTTGCCACCGACAAGGCATCACGGCGTCACCCGCTGCGAGCGGTGCCCCTACGAAAGCAAGCATGCCATCGAGCGTTTGGCCGCGCAGAGATGCCACCTCCTCAGCCTGTCTCCTGCGCTTTGCTGTCGGGCTGCCGCATGGTTGCTTGGCTTCGAGCCAGCACACACACGCGCGCACTTCTGCGTGCACAGCTCTGCCCCTGGCGCCCTCCAAAACCGCAGCCACCCATCCGTTCGAGCCACTCAGCCCTTATGAACTCGGTCCTGGGAAGCCTCGTCTGTACAGATGTGACAGAGAAGGTACGCGCTGGGGGTTGCGGCACCCCTCGTGTCAACCCACAGCAGTGACAACGATGACATCGAAGCAGGGCGTGTTTCAAGCAGCAGCCCGTCCCCGCCCGCTTCACATGTACATGCTTTTGCGCGCGCCGGCATGCACATGTTTGCTTTTGACTGCCTGCAAAGTCTTGAACTGTGCATGCGTGGTGCACATACAACGCTCACACATGCTGATTTACACACGCACTTCACCCAAGCGCGCGCACCGGCGTGCACGCACGCACGCTCGCACACGCACGAACGCATGCACGCGCGTGCGCACACACACACACACAAAATGCACACCTCAGTACGAGATGGGAGACGTCCTGGGCCGCGGCGCGTTCGCGACGACGCGGCTGTGCGTGCAGCGCAGCACTGGGGCGCGCTACGCCTGCAAGTCAATCCTGAAGCGGCGCCTGGTCAGCGACGGCAGCGACGTGAAGCACGAGCTGCAGATCATGCTGCACCTGAAAGGTGCGGCCCTGCGCCAAGGGGTGTGCAAGTGCGTGTGGGGTCGTGCATGGGCAGGCACCAGTGCAGCTGTGTGTCAGGTTGTGCAGGTAAGTGCACCTGTATGATGTCACGGGAGATGAATTCACAGAGGGGGATAGGGGCCGCTGCGGGCGGCCCAGAAGTGCCCAAACCGCACCTGCTCGACCGCCAGCCAGTGCTCGGGCCGCCGGGCGCAGCGCCTCAAGCCACAGCACTTCTCTGTCCGCATCGCGGGGCGCAAAGAGGACGCTCCGCACAGGCAGCCACACCCACGGCCACAAGCGAACGGCGATGACGCCCTTTGGACTTCCACCGATCCAGGCCACCCCAATATGATAAAGCTCGTGGACACGTTTGAGGACAACCACTATGTCCACATGGTGAAAGGGGCGGCGGGGTTGGGGAGGCAGCCGCTGGTGGGGGGCAGCAGAGTGGGAG